GTACCTTTCTGAATTTCTGAATTTCTGAATTTCTGAATTTCTGAATTTCTGAATTTCTGAATTTCTGAATTTCTGAATTTCTGAATTTCTGAATTTCTGAATTTCTGAATTGCTGAATTTCTGAATTTCTGAATTTCTGAATTTCTGAATTTCTAAATGTCTGAATTTCTGAATTTCCGAATTTCTGAATTTCTGAATTTCCGAATTTCTGAATTTCTAAATTTCTGAATATCCGAATTTCTGAATTTCTAAATTTCTGAATTTCTGAATTTCTGAATTTCTGAATTTCTGAATTTCTGAATTTCTGAATTTCTGAATTTCTGAATTTCTGAATTTCTGAATTTCTGAATTTCTGAATTTCTGAATTTCTGAATTTCTGAATTTCTGAATTTCTGAATTTCTGAATTTCTGAATTTCTGAATTTCTGAATTTCTGAATTTCTGAATTTCTGAATTTCTAAATGTCTGAATTTCTGAATTTCCGAATTTCTGAATTTCTGAATTTCCGAATTTCTGAATTTCTAAATTTCTGAATATCCGAATTTCTGAATTTCTAAATTTCTGAATTTCTGAATTTCTGAATTTCTGAATTTCTGAATTTCTAAATTTCTGAATTTCTGAATTTCTGAATTTCTGAATTTCTGAATTTCTGAATTTCTGAATTTCTGAATTTCTGAATTTCTGAATTTCTGAATTTCTGAATTTCTGAATTTCTGAATTTCTGAATTTCTGAATTTCTGAATTTCTGAATTTCTGAATTTCTGAATTTCTGAATTTCTGAATTTCTGAATTTCTGAATTTCTGAATTTCTAAATGTCTGAATTTCTGAATTTCCGAATTTCTGAATTTCTGAATTTCCGAATTTCTGAATTTCTAAATTTCTGAATATCCGAATTTCTGAATTTCTAAATTTCTGAATTTCTGAATTTCTGAATTTCTGAATTTCTAAATTTCTGAATTTCTGAATTTCTGAATTTCTGAATTTCTGAATTTCTGAATTTCTGAATTTCTGAATTTCTGAATTTCTGAATTTCTGAATTTCTGAATTTCTGAATTTCTGAATTTCTGAATTTCTGAATTTCTGAATTTCTGAATTTCTGAATTTCTAAATGTCTGAATTTCTGAATTTCCGAATTTCTGAATTTCTGAATTTCCGAATTTCTGAATTTCTAAATTTCTGAATATCCGAATTTCTGAATTTCTAAATTTCTGAATTTCTGAATTTCTGAATTTCCGAATTTCTGAATTTCTAAATTTCTGAATTTCTGAATTTCTAAATTTCTGAATATCCGAATTTCTGAAGATAATGATTGTGAGAAAATTCTGGAAATCTAAAAATTTTCAAACTCCTCTAACTCAACCAATTTCCAACCAAATTATTGATTTTCCCCTCAAGCGATTGAAAATTTCTCAAACTTTCACACTCACCCCCTATCCTCTTTCTTATTCTTCAATGCTCTTATCGATTTCGTTATCTGTTTTGTTATCAGTGTAAACGGCGATTGATCATCCTTACTACTCCTCAAACTGTATCCACTTAGATTCACAATTCGAGTTTGGCGCTTTTTTCGAATACGAAACGCGCCAACCCAATTGCTTGTTGGCGCACTTCCCGTGACTTTTATTACCAGACGTTGAGCATGGTGTCGACGCGCATTCTGTGCTCGAGAGACTTCTAAAAGCTCACCGACGCATTTCGCGTGCTGCTCGATCGACTTGATTCCCTTGACACATTTCTCGTGCAGGCGCGTTTCGAGATGCGTGATCGTGGAGATTCTGAAAATAAACTTATTGGATTTGTTGTTAAAAAAGCTTCAAAATGAACATTTTGAAAGTTTCAATTGTTTGGGTCTCACCACGAAACATCGCCTAAAAAACCATCACAACTCGGTTAGTTTTGGTCCAATTTCAATGAAATCCAATTTTGCCATTGTAAGAAATTCAAAATGAGTATAAACATGCCTAGTTTCCAATTTTTTTGAAAGTTTGAATTTTTGGGCCCCGACACGAAAATCCGAAACTACTGTAACTCGGTCAGTTTTGATCCAATTTCGATGTAAAATATATCATTGTACGAATTTTGAAACGAACTTCGAAAAGAGTATAAACAAGACTAGGTTTCAAAAAATTTTGAATTTTGGTTTTTTTCCCCAATTTTCTAAAACTCACTTCTCATTGACCACTGTTGCTATCAACGCTGACATAGCCTGATCGATCCAATGATTGGAAAGTTCTAGAACCGAATCTTGAGTCGTATTGATTTGAGGTGTCTTCTCTCCTAATAACGTCTTCAGATGAGTAGAAGCTTCTGGAGATTCTCGGAAGGCATCGGACAATTTAAAAGCGGCCAAGAGCCAAAATATGTGGACCATAGAGTAGTTTTGCATGGCTGAAAATTGATTGAAATGCGGTCAAAATGTGTAAGACTGACTCCAGTTGGGAGTGATAAGAAAAGATATCAGTGATAAGGGAAAAGAGGGAAAAGAGTGATTAACCTGACGCCGTGGAAAAGTACATAAATGGAAAAAAAACGAGGAAAACGACAAAGATAAGAAAATGACTAATCTAGGCTGCTGTCCAAATGGATATCGCTTTTCTTCACTTTTTGATCTTTATTCTTACAGTAATCCTTTAAATCTTCGAACTATCTCGCTTCCTGTAAAAGATATCAACATTTTGTCAACTGATAAAATATTGGTGATATTATGATAAATAATTTATCAGTTAACAATTTTTTGATATCTCTGATAGGATCCGACATAATTGGTATCAAACGGCAAGGGGATACGGTATTTTAACCAGAGGAAAGTGAAAAAAGAAGTGTTTCTTGGGATTTTTGGGATTTTTGTGAATTTTAGATTTTTTGGATTTACAGGATTTTATGGTTTTCGGGTCTTTTGGAAAATTTGAGATTCTTAGGATTTCATAATTTTTACAATTTTCGGGATTTCCCAAAATTCTGGATTCATTAAAACAAAAAGACTAATTTATTTCTCTTCAATCCCGCCATTTTTATACCATCCATCATCAACTTTTTTTGAAGCTAACTTTTTTCTCTTCCGTATTTCCCGAAATTTTCCGAATGGTCCCAGACAGGGTGGTCAAGCCTACCTGTGCGGCTAATGGGATTACACTAAATTGTTGGCTTTTTTTTCTAGAACATTTCGTCAATGTGTTCTAAAAGTGGCCTTGCACTTTTTTAGGGGGAACAGGTGTCCGAATGATTAGCAATGGGTGATAGGAACTGATTAAAAAGGAACGAACAGGAAAATGAACACACACGTTGATAAGGAATGGAGAAAAGATGAGGAGAGGAAAATTCTGATCACAGAAATGTGGAAAAAGCAATTTGGAGGTGATCTTTATCACTGGCTGCGGCTAGAAACTACGAGACTTGAGGAATTTTGAGATTCCGAATTTCAGAAAATCAAATTCCCAATATCCCAAAAAACCAAAAGTTCCAAGGATCCAAAAAATCGAAAAACCCCAAAAATCCCTAAATTCAAAAAATCCCAAAAGATTCTCTTTTTTTTAGGATTTCTGGGATTCTTGAATTTTTGAATTTCTGAATGTCTCGGTTTCTGAATGTTTAAACTTTTTAGATTTTGAGGTATAGCAAATAGGACAAAAAATAATTTTTTGAAAAATTTCAAATTAAATTCAGATAAAAATCAATTAGGTGTTATCACCTATCATTTAATAAGGTGTGTGTTTCCACATCCATCGTCGCTTTTCCGATTTCCAGAAAAACCCTATCTGAGTGTGTGTGTGATATGATTAATTGGTCTGGTGGATAAGGGGCCAGGCGGCGGTGTCTTTTGATGTTTTCTTCTACACTTTTTGAACGGCATTTTATCAGCAGAATGATATTTTTGATATATTCAGATTTTTGACAGATTGATTTTCACTTGAAATTGTTAAGGTTCAAATGACTACCGTAAAACCTCTAATAGAACGACACCCGGATCGTCCACTTTGAGCTTAT